TCTTTAAAATCTTTATTGTTTTTTAAAAAAAAAACAACCTTTATATACTTTAAATAGTTCAAGATCATGCAGAAAGGCATAAAATAAAAAGACAAGTTTTCTTCTCCCCCCCCCACCCCGCCAGGCCCTGAGTTCCACTTCTCAGAATTAATCATTGTTAATCATGTCTCTTGCATACTTTCATAAATGATCTATGCCTATGTAAGTATATAAATTATATAGCTATATTGCATATTTACCTTCTCTTTTTTAAAAAGTTACACAATTTAAAAACTTGTAAATTGGATAGTAGGAAAAGCATTAGAATTTTGGTGGTGAGTGGGGTGAGACATATACATATATTGAGATGTGAAGCTGTCTGAGATTTATAGAGCATTGCAAACCAATAGTAAATAATAAAATTTTATTTAAAATAATAAAATAAATAAAAATTTTACAGATAGGATAAGAATCCTTTGTTCCAAGCTGCTTTGGGGGGTCATCTTTGGAGATCTTCATGTCAGTACAAATTAATGTATTTTGTTCTTAAATTTTTCAATGTTGATAGATTTTCCTAAATACCTCTTACAAAAAGAGTGCCCCAATTTATCCCCTCATGTTTGAGAGTGCTTTGTTCCTCACATTTTCATTGACACAAGATATTCTTCTTAATTTGAACCAAGATGATAGGTACTTTAAGTGGAATTTATTTTGCTGTCAGTAAGGTAGTAAGATCAAGAGTCTTTTCATGTGATTTATTGGTCACTTGTATACATTATTTTTCAGTCCATTTTTCTATTGGTTTCTTATTTCTATCAGTTTCTTATTCCTTTGTATGAACTTCCACATGTTAAAGAAATCATATTTTTGTTTCTCATCTGTCCTTTTGCTTTATTAATGACTTGCCATTTTTTCATCCAGAAGTTTCCATTTTAAGTACTTAAATGTTTAAAGTTTTGTGGTTTTTTTTTTTTTTTGAATTTTGTGTCCTGAATTGAAAGGTCTTCCTGTTTTACTTTTTTGCTTCATAATCAAATCCTTCTGTTTGGTTGCATAGTTGCATGAAATGTAATTGGAAGAAATTGGTATGTCTGGTATTTCTTCCTGAATCGGTGCACTCAGTTATCGCAGAAGAGTTAATGAAAGCTTTTGGTTTGGAAGCCCTGAGTGTCCCTGAGTATCCTCTAATGATGAGAAGAAAGAAGCAGGAAGCAAGACAGATTTGTTAATCAGCCACTGAAAGAACTGTCTTCTCAAGCAGTCTGCTAAGTGTACTTTTTTTTCTTCTAGAAACAGAATTTGATGGCTGCTGCCAAATCCAAGTATGAATTACTGTAGCTCAGAGCCCTGTGTGACAGGAGACTGAATAAGGCATGGGTCTAGGGGTAGAACGACCCTCTTTGAGCACACAACTCATACTTGATAGACACATCTAGAAATACTGTAGCTTCCTTTTTTTTTATTTTTAAGAGAGTGAGGGGGTGAAGACAGGGGACCCATTTAGTGATCTGAGAATTGCAGAGGGTGAGTTAGGAGGTAGAAAAAGATACTGGTTTCTTTGTCCTATTCCTTTGGTGGGTTTTGTCCCTTAGCAGAGTGATAAGCAGTGATAACTGGGGCTATTACCAGTGAGACCCCAGCCTCTTATATTCTGCTTACTCATTCTGAAGTTAGTATGGAGGCACCCTTTCCACAGCAGCATAGATTATTTGCTCCACTGGGTTTGTGGGTAGAAATAACTGCAAGTGGACTAGGAGGGAGTTTTAGGTTTCCAGGCTCCTCTTTATCTGCTTTATCTGCTGGATATGTCAGAAAATGACCAATTTTTTTTTTTCTCTAAGGCACACCTCCCCATGTCTTCTTTTTCCATGAGCCACAGTTGACCAGTAATTAAGGTGATGTCAAGATGGTAATCCCTCTGTAAAATAACAATTCACCATAATAGAGTGGAGAGGCAGTTTTTCCATCTTTCCTATTGAAGATGACCTTGACTTGATAGTTTGGTCTTGTTGTCTGCCTCTTGGACATCCAAGAGCTCAGCTCTCTATAATCTGCATCTTAAGTTACTTTGTCCTGGTTGGGGGTGGAGGCACTAAAGACTGAGTCATAGCAGCCCAGCAATCTAACCTTCCTCAAATGATTTTGTTCCTCTTTCATCAAACATCGCAAAGAGAAAATGCAATGTGTAGGGTCCAATCTCTTTGAAAGCAAGATACTCTGCATGCCTGACAGGCATTCTGGCCAATGTGAGGGTAGAAGTTTGCAGCATGGGGGATTCCATCTCAAGAGGGATTGCACTCTGAGGTTGAAAACTCAAGAAGTGTCCTGACCATTTCTTGTCTGTTCAATGACCATCATCATTGACCTGAACATTCTATAGAAGCCATGAGTAAGTTTAGAGGAACCTACTAAGAAAAAGCTCCACTTTTCCTTTCCTCAACTATGAGCCTGCTCTAAATGATTAGTCTTTTCCAAAGACTGCTATGTTGATAGGTAAAGCCAATAGTCATTTGATGAGCCTATGTTTGTGTTAAAAATAATAAGAGTAATTAACACGGAGTGGGGGGACACAGCTAGCCCCATTGATACTTCATTGTTTCATTCATGCAATAGATATTTAGTCCTTACTACATGCCAAACACTATGTTAGGAGTTGGGAATGTGTCTGGCACAGTCATCTTAACTATAGATAACTAGTATTGAGCTCTTACAACCTATTAGATGCTGTGCTAAATGCTTTATATGGATTGACTTACATAATCTCAAGTCAAGTAAGTCTCAAATCAACCTTGTAATTAGGTACTTTTATAATCTTTATCCAAGGGTAAGGGAAATGAGGTTTAGAGAGGCAAAATAACTTGCCCAGCAGCACACTAGTATTAAGAATTCAAGTTAGGATACAGTACAATGTACTTTCTACTTTTAATGGTTCACTGTTGTTTCTATGTAAGGAAGAAAGTGAGTTCCTGCCTTCATAGTGCTTACAGTCTAAATTAAAGAACAGAGAACTCTTTTCTTCAGACAGATACTTTCTGACTCAGGAGAGGTGTGGCATGTCCCCCAGAGGAGGCTTCCCTCCTTTCATCGGGCATTGGAGCTAACACATTCTCCATGAATGAAGCCACTTGGTGACATGGACTTCCCTTGTTTTCTCTAATGACATTCATTTCTTCCATTTCCTCTGTCCTATGCAAGTCCTCCCAGAATCCTTGCCTTGTCCTGCTACTAACCCCTTTCTTCTATCAGCGCCTCCTTTCTACATCTGCTTATCCCCTTTTTCCCCCTCATATAGACAATTAGTAGAGCTCCCAATTGTCATGCAATTTTGCAGGGACACACAGAAAGGAGGGAAACTTCCTCCTGCAAATGAAACGAGCTGTTGATGAATGGTTTAGTAAGCCTGGGGGTCCTTCTTTAGTGTTCTCTGGCATTTAAGAGACTCAGGATTCCAAAAGCACATCCACTCCATTTTGCTGCTGCTAATCTCATTTTTCCCATGATTAACAACCCAGTTCATTATGTTTTCAGCTCACATTAATCTTCTCTTCTTTAAGTTTGGTAACATTTGGAGTCATTTCCCTCTGTGTTTATCCATCTGGGATCTTTAGAGAAGATAAGTTTGCACAGAAGTCATTTGTTGCCCACTGCTGTCAGAGAATGAATGTTTTTCTTATTTCTCTCTCTTCACAATACAGAGAAGCCCCTTAACAGAATTCCGGGGGTGGGGGGGGGCTCAATTTGGAATTGTGCTGCAATATAGCAGCATCACAAACCACAATACACAATGCTCTCTGGATCCTGACTGTCCTGGTGGAGCAGATGGAGTTGAGAAGGAGCTGGCAGGGGGGCCAGGGGAGGGGCTGGTGAAAGAGTAGTGCGATGAATGAGTCAGAGTGAAGTGTTTGGCTTGAGCCCCAACTTCACCACCTACAAGCTATTTGACCTTGGGCAAGTCACATAATCTCTGAGGTCCATTTGCCTCTTCTGTGAATGAGGCCCAAAGATGCCGCTCCTCTCTATATGAGAGGATGGTTTGGAGGGTTAAACCTGTATTCTCATCTCTGTTTTTCAGTAACCTTATATATGACCTTGTTCTATCACTTAATTTTTGCAATTTAGTTGTCCCTTCCAACACTAATTATATAAATGTGTGTAAATATACTTACCTATAGCATATAAATATAATACATATTAAGCATATACAATCATATATTGTACATATATGTGAAATAATATATTTTTTATATATATATGAAAGAAAAATAGGCTACTGGGGAAGTTTTAGAATCTAGTATTTCTTAATTCACATCCTATAATTTAAAAAAGACCTAAAGGTCTGTTGGGAAGGGAGCATATTTTTTTAGAAAACTGAGAGAATCTTTAGGAAATTCAGATAAAGGCATCTTCCAGGTATCATGTAACCTCAGGAAGTCATAGGGAGGTCACAGCTCTTTTGGAGATTCTCGACTGTCAGTCCCTAGCAACATTTTATTATGAAGGTTGGAATGGATTCATTCATTCGTCATTGGTGTAATATGTTTCTTTAGAGAAAATATTCCAAATTGGATAACCAATCAAAGTCATGGCAGGTATTCCTGTTTACAGGCATTAACCATGAAATATCAGTATTATTGCTCATTGCTGCCTCAATGTAGAGTTATGTTGCATTGGATAATCTGTTCATGTAGGAAGGGGGAGAGTTGTGATTATTTTCCAGTTCAAGAATTAAGAAGCAGGTTAGGATGTGGAGAGGACCACTAGAGCTGAGAGAAATCTGAACTCTGCTCTAACTCTGCAGCACTGAAGACGAGGAAATATAATTCGGAAATGTTGTTTCTTATTGACAGTCCTCTCCCCAGCACTTGGGATTTAAACTGGAGACTCCCACTGGGGTTGATGGAAATTACCTGCATAACCAACCCTCCTACCCACGTAGAATGCCAGACGCCTGAGAGCACTTTTAATTGCAAAGTACCTTCCTTTGCAAAAGAGCTAATTGCATCTATTTGCCTTTCCTTTAGGTATCCAAGCAAGGACAGGAACGATGAAGCATCGTGTGTGTTAGTCGCAGCCTTTTGAACCACTCCAGAAGGAAACCAACAGTGTGGACAAGGCTGGAACCATCGCCACGCTTGCTTGTTGGAGTAAATGAGGAATGGACCTGTGATTATGCTGACATTCCAGCATGAATCTGGTAGACCTGTGGTTAACCCGCTCCCTCTCCATGTGTCTCCTCCTACAAAGTTTCGTTCTTATGATACTGTGCTTTCATTCTGCCAGTATGTGTCCCAAGGGCTGTCTTTGTTCCTCTTCTGGGGGTTTAAATGTCACCTGTAGCAATGCAAATCTCAAGGAAATACCTAGAGATCTTCCCCCTGAAACAGTTTTATTGTATCTGGACTCCAATCAGATCACCTCTATCCCCAATGAGATTTTTAAGGACCTCCATCAGCTAAGAGTTCTCAACCTGTCCAAAAACGGCATTGAGTTCATTGATGAGCATGCCTTCAAAGGAGTAGCTGAAACTTTGCAGACTCTGGACTTGTCTGACAATCGCATTCAAAGTGTGCACAAAAATGCCTTCAATAACCTGAAGGCCAGGGCCAGAATCGCCAACAACCCCTGGCACTGCGACTGTACTCTCCAGCAAGTTCTGCGGAGCATGGCCTCCAACCATGAGACAGCTCACAATGTGATCTGTAAGACTTCTGTGTTGGATGAACACGCCGGGAGACCGTTCCTCAATGCTGCCAATGATGCTGACCTTTGTAACCTCCCTAAAAAAACTACTGACTATGCCATGCTGGTCACCATGTTTGGCTGGTTCACCATGGTGATCTCCTACGTGGTGTATTACGTGAGGCAAAATCAGGAGGATGCACGGAGACACCTTGAATACTTGAAATCCCTGCCAAGCAGGCAAAAGAAAGCAGATGAACCCGACGACATTAGCACTGTGGTATAGGGTCCAAGCCGACTGACGCTGAGAACAAAATTTGTTTTGCTATTGCTGTAGAATAAGTGGTTTACTTCTCCCACCCATTGTAAACATTTAAAACTTTGTATCGCAACTTCTTTTGAATCATGCCACTGTCAAACTTTTAACAAACATGACAACATAAATACTTTTAGTTTAGGTGATCCACCCCTTAACTGTACCCCCAGTGGTAAATTCCTGAGTAAGCTACTATCTGAATATTAGTTAGATCCATCTCACTATTTAATAATGAAATTTATTTTTTTAATTTAAAATCAAATAAAAGCTTAACTTTGAACCATGGAAACCAGAGTGACTTATTGGTCAAGAAAACAGTCCAGTCTTTCCATTTGGTCTGGAGAAAACCAGACAACCCTAAAGAACTATCATCATGAAGATGTGCTGTGAAGCCTTACCGTCCATAAGGGAGACACAGCTGATTTAATTGACCAAGTAAAGGATCTATCAGATACTCAAGTATGGAACCTTGGCAAACCCAGGGGATAACACACAGAGAGATATCCTGCAGAGGCTTAAGTGGGGATGCCTTAGGTGTCTGCTATCTAAACATTCAGTGTAGTTAGGTACAGCTAAACACATTTCTACTCGTTTCTAAATGTAATGGAAAAGAAAAAGATGGCACATATTCTGTGCTCAGGATTATCTTCTGGTGGACAGGGATATGTGACAAATGTAGAAGTTGTGACACCAGAAAGGAAGGTCCTAATAATCAAGGAGCATTAACTCTGCAGCACGGTGCAAGGCATCTTTATGCTAATCTCTAAACCTCCCCTCACAAGAGGAAAAGGTAACAACTCTCCATTACCGTAGGAGAGATGACAGGTGAAAGAGGCCCAGGAGCTTGCCAGGAAGAAAGTATCAGAACCTGAATTTGAACTAAGTCTTCCTGTCTCCAAAGACTTATTACAAAGTCCTGTCTCCAAAGTCTTCTCATTACAGGGTTGTAACTGCACCCAGGCTCAGTGCACAGCTCTGTAAGTTTTTGACCAATATATCCACCTGTGCATCAAGATATGGTGGCCTGATACTGCTCAGGAGTAGGAGAAAGTGCACTCAGATCTTAGAGCAGTAAATCATGTTTTTGTTTTTAAAATTTTCATCTGCCGGGCCTCCCCTGGTGGCACAGTGGTTGAGCACTGGGCTGCGAGGCTGCCCGCAGCCTCTGCAGCGCCAGTTCGTTCCCTGGCACCGGCGAGGGTCCCACCAAAAAAAAAAAAAAAAAAATCATGTGCCTTTGCAGATAATCTTAAAAACGTGGTTGGGTCTTATCAGATGATGTTTTAGGTACAGAAAGTGGAGCAAGCAGAGGGAAAAAAAGGATAAACGTGCAGGGAGGTATTTGGATTGAAGGGGTCCATGTAAGAGATGTGAGAGACCAGACTGGTGCCATGTTGTGGGGGTCTCCATCCATCCTAAGTGTTCTGATAACACTTAGGGTAAACTTACTAGGTCCCAACTACATTCCTTGGGTTGTCTTAATTAATCCTTTCAACTTCCCTATGTGATAGTCGTCTGTGAGCGAAGAGTCAGGGACACAGGAATTCAGTAACTAATTCAAGATCCAAGCACTTACAACTATAGCATGCTGAAAACCCACTTAACTTCAGAACCTGTGAGCTTCTAACCTTTGTACTGTATTACTTTACAGAGTCATAAACTTTACTACATAAAATTACTATTTTTGCAGACCTAGAGGATTTCAGACTCCTAAGTAACGGTTTCACACACAAGCAAAAATAATAGCAAAAATATCCCTATATGAGGCTTAGATAGGAGGGAGAATTCCTTTGTCAGTTTGACCCACACCCTCTTCTCCAACCCGTATTAGGTTATCTTTGGGCATCAAGGGATCACATTTCAGCCCTTAACATGCACTAAAATGTTTCTTTCCATCTTAGTAGTATCTAAAAGCTGCTGGTGTAGAACATTCAGAGCAATATGACTAGACTAGGCTCATGGCACATACCCCAGGACCCTGGGCTTTCAATACCCACCTTAGCCTTACTAAAATGTGTAAGACCCAGAACTTTTGTATCCCAGTGAGAAGGAAGCCAGTTTGCTTTTGCTAACTGGATTTGAACATCTTCCTGTGAAATTGGAGCTTTGCTGAAGATTTAACGCCCCCTGGAGGACAATGTTAGAATAAAACATTGTGTAAATACTGCCACAGAAAGATGCATGGCTGAATTCATCTTTTGCCCCTAAAAAAAAAAGGGAAAACCAAGCTTTGGCTAAGAGAACCCTCTAAAAATTTAGATAAATTAATTGTGTTTATTTGAGTGCATTAATCACATATGTTTTAGAAAAAGCTTACACTAGTTCATTCCACATTGCTCCTTCCAAAAAAATCCTATGAGCTTATTTTCCTCATGGCCAATTGCATTAGTCAAGTGAAAGTACCTATAAAAGAAATATCTCTGAGGAATGTTGTAGTATATAGTCGTATTCCCATTCAGATGTGGCGAAGTTAAATTCACACATTTTAGTTTGTAATTCTCTGCAGAGTTAAGAGGAGCATCCTAAGGAAATAAGTATCCCCCTGCCTGAATTCTATATGTAGATTTTCAGCTAACAGTGTTATGTGAATGCTTTCAAAAAATTAAGTTAGGTTGTCATGGATTGGCATATATAAAGCATTGGATGAAAAAATTTAAAAAAAAGTTTTAAAATTTTTTAAAAATTAAAAAAAATTAAGTTTTAGGTTGTCATGGATTGGCATATATAAAGCATTGGATGAAAAAAATTTAAAAAAAAAATTTTAAAACAGCAGGCTTTAGGATCCATTCATGACCAGACCTGAAAGGAAATACTCTTCCCCATCAGCTGTAGGGCAGTTCCACCCCATGAGACCCCAGGGCATGATGTCAGTGAGTTGAAGAGCTTACTGGGACTCACTGCTGTACATAAAAAGGTCTGCTATCCATGCTCCTTAATTTTTCAAACCCTTGCAGATGTTTATATACATGGGGAGCAGTAGCGTTTTTGAAATTAATCATCATTGCATCTAAGCACAGAGCATCTCTATGTACTTGAAATAACAGCTCCTTTGCTCAAGCTTTTTCTTTGATATCACTTTCCTAACCTCAACCTCTAAAATTCAACAACACCTGAGAATTTTAGTCTAATCATTGAAAATATGTTTATATCTATAGTAAGAAAAATCATAAAGTAAGCCACCCAACTGGAACAGTTTTAAGAAAGTGGTTTAAAAAAAAAAAAGTTATGTAATGGAAGATTTAACTTTCAAGAACACTTTGGCAAATTGAACCGCTCTGATACATGAATTCTGCCAGGTATGCGTTGTTCTTTTTTTCTTCCTTCTCTGCTTACCCACAATAATTCTTGTTCTGACATCAACAAGCATAAGGCAGTCTGGGATATGGGTAGGTATTCCCATTGACTTGAGATTTTCAATTCATAGAGTAAGTTCTTTCATCTATCTGGCAATGTTAAGGAATGGAAAAATTCTACATCATTAAATGTTCAGGTTACTAGAGATAGCAAACTCCTAGGATGTCAGGGCTGGAAGAGTCCAAGGGATGATCTTACCCACTGATTTTTCAGGTGCTGAAATTGAAACCCTTGCAGACTTGGGGATTAGCACTCATGTCTTCACATTCCTCTTCTAAAAACCCTTATAGGTACTAGAAGGTACAATTTATAGGTACAACTGCCTCTCCTAAAAAAAAAAAAAAAAAAAAAAAAAAACCGTTTCTCAAAGAAACAGAACATGACCATATATACCATGAAAATATTACTGGCTTTCTGCACATTTGTTTGAGGACTCAGAAGGTGCTTACGGTTCCTACGTTGTCACAAAGTTGTAGTAAAGGTTATCCATGATTCTAAAAGTTTCTTGTACTTTCAAGGTAGGATGAGAGGACCTGTCCCCCTTTCATAGACCCTGGGCTACATCCTCAATACTATGCATGATCTTACTTCCCAGCAGAGAAATGGAGAAGATCTTGGTCCAACTTCCTGAGGAGGAAGTGTTGTTTCCTTCAGTAGCAACATAAACTTGGAGTTATCAAGTCCATTTCCAGAGCTCTTCCCAGCCTGACTTCCCATTATGCTATCAACCTTTCCCCATATCCAAATGGGTAACTCAGGATACAGGGAAAGGAAGACGTGAACTCCTCACCCCACATTTGCCCACGTTCATTATGTGGCTGCTCCCCAATGCACTGAATAAATTAGTGAATCATCCCAGGAGAAATAATCCTTATGCCCTATGACTTTTTTTCTACAAATTCAGGGAAATTATATGCTTGAGGCCAGAAGATGGACAGAGTCCCATGGGTTCATGGGTGAGTGACAGTAAAAGTGTGACAGTAGATTTATGGCTCTGACCTCCTCAACATAAAAGAATCAGACTAGAGTGTATTGCTTAAGTATATGTGTATGTGTGGTATGTGTGTGTGTTTGTGTGTGTGTGTGACCACATTCACAAATTGGGGAATTGGACCCTAAAAGCATCAGGAAGAAATAGTGGGAACATTGGGGACAAAATCTTCCTATGAATGATTTGCTCCCAGGAGGCCTGTGACAGCATCTAAGCTGTATAATCCGGGCCAGGACACTCTGGGCCTGAGTTCCCTCCTCTGTGGAATGGGAACAATGATAATGTCTACCCATGAGAGCTAGGGAAGGCAGAATAGCACCTCATACTTAGAAAATTATAAGACGTATTTCCAAGGCTGTCCCAAGGTTCAGTGAAAACCTTAATGCTTGCCACTAATGACAACTGAGTTGATCTATTTTGTGAGCTGTGCTCTTTCTTTAACCGACAAATGTTCTGCATTTTTGCTCCCTCTTTTCAAATATAAATTAATACATTTACTTCCTTTGCCTGTGGGAGTAAAAGCCTCCAACTGACAAAAGTTTTCTGGAACTGACCCTAAATGCTAAGCCTGAACATTATGGGTCTCTCTTGGATTGGGATCAATTATTTTTTCTATTTTATTTATTTTTCACTTCAGAGAAGAGTTTGCAACATGGAAGGTAATCTGAAATCTGGCTGTTGGTCTAAAGATTAACAAGCCATCTGTTGAGGTAATGGCATCGATTACTGAATAGGTTTAAAATAAATTGGCCCATAGGGAATAGGATGGGGCTAATTTACACAAACCCAGCTTTCTTAGAATTGTCCACGTTTCTGGTGGAAGAAAAATGTATGAAAGCGGCTGGTCTGTTTTCAAAGTCTTTCATCCTCCCAGGCAGTCTTGCCAATTCCCTGGCTTCTGAGGAACGAGCTGAAGTGACAAGGAAAGAATGTGAAATGAGAGT